TCTGATATTTCCTCCCCCCCCCCCACTTTTAACTTGTAACACCTCTCCTACGCAAGCTGCACTGGCTCCCGGTAGTCTTCCGGGTGCGATTCAAGGTGTTAGTTTTCATCTTTAAAGCGCTCCATGGCTCAGGACCTGGGTACCTACGAGACCGTCTTTTGCCACCAATAGCCTCCCACCGACCAGTTCGTTCTCACAGGGAGGGTCTCCTCAGGGTACCGTCAGTCAAATTATGCCGACTGGCGACTCCCAGGGGGAGGGCCTTCTCTGTGGGGGCTCCAACCCTTTGGAATGAACTGCCCCCGGAGATACGGAATATCCCTGATCTCCGTGCTTTCCGCCGTGCCCTCAAGACCCTGATGTTCCAACAGGCGGGGCTAAACATACGAACATGCGAATGATTTTTTAAATGTTATCTAATTCTGGGTTTTATTTAATTGACCAAACTAAGTAATAATTTTAATTAGCAATTTTATGATGTTTGTGTGTCTATATTTTTCTTGACTGTACACCGCCTTGAGTCCTACGGGAGAAAGGCGGCATAGAAATATAATAAATAAATAAATAAATAAATAAATAAATAAATAAATAAATAAATAAATAAATAAATAATCAAAGCAGTCAATTTAGCCATCTCTGTGAGCTCCCATCAACTTTTGCAGCCATTCGTCCATTGAGGGATTCCCAAGTGTTGGTCTGTGCCTTCGGTATTAATGGCTATTGTCATCCTTGCTGTCCCTCAATGATTTGTGTCTCTGTGGAAAGTTTTCCCAGGCCACAATGCAGGCAGAAGCACCACCAAGATTTTTATCCGGACATAATTTTTCCACGGAACTTTCCTGTCCTGATGTTAATAGGGAATAATACAGGCAGTCCTTGACTTATGTCCAGAATTGAGGCCGAAATTTTCATTGCTAAGTAACACAGTTGTTAAGCGAATTTTGCCCTCTCCCAAATGTGCTTTTCCAGGAGACAACTGCATTTTTGGGACAACTATGACCCGGATGATTGAGAATCTCTATGATGTGATCTAGGCTTCCTGAGTCATTAAAACACACGAGTAGTCCCAAAAAAACCTCTTTTATTGCAACAGCTGTGAATTACGTTCATTCACAGCTGAGTCCCAATTAGTTGCAAAAAGTCCTTCGGGAGAAGTCCTTTGGGATAATCACCAACCTTTATCTCCCTTGGCACGCTGCCAAAGACCTACTTGGCAAAGCCACACCGAGTGCTGAATCAAACAGAGATGCCGACTGGGAACAGAATTAACAGCGTTGCTTTCCTGCAAAGGGTCCATGTGCCTTTGCTCTTCTTTTTCCCAGATGTGCCAGTATACCTACTCAATTGAAAAAAACTTTGAAAAATGCTTGCTTCAGAGTTTTTAATTGGAGAGGGGTTGTTTCTGGAACGCTGACAGGAACTCCTTGCCTCCAGAAGTCGTGGGTGCTCCAAAACTGGAAGTTTTTAAGAAAAGACTGGACAGCTATTTGTCGGAAACGATCTAGGGTCTCCTGCTTTAAAGCAAGGGGCTGGACTAGAAGACCTCATGAATGGCTGCGGGATTTGGGCTTGGCTAGTCCAGGGTGGATAAAAATCAATGATTTTTTAAAAAAAAATCAAAAAAATCGGATTTTTTAATTTAAATCGGATTTTTTTGATTAAAATCGGATTTTTTTTTTTTATTGCAAAAGTTTTACAATTACATTTTCACCCCTTTTTTCACCCCCCCACCTCCCTCCCCAAACTTCCCATCCTCCCTAGCCCTCCCTAACCCTCCCCCCCAGACTTCCCTATTATGTACTCATAACTAATAATACTGATATATATACCTGAACCCATCCCTCCCCCTATATAAATTTTCCCTCTTTATCTCTTTACATTAAAATATTTCTAATACATTGTTTTCAAATAAAAGCTATTTGGTACTTTCTAGTTTGGTATTTGTTCTGAACATATTCTATCCACCTTTTCCATTCCCATTCATAAGTCTCTTGTGAACAATCTTTTAAATATGCTGAAATCTTCGCCATCTCTGCAAAACTGGCCATCTTCAAAGTCCATTCCTCGATAGTAGGCAAAGCTTCATTCTTCCAATATTTACCTATCAACAATCTTGCTGCTGTTATCATATACAATATTAATTTTATTTCACCCCGTGTAAAACCCTTAACTATACCCAATAAAAACAATTGTGGAGAAAATTGAATTTTTTTCTTCAAAACATTCTGCATGACCCACCATATTTTTATCCAAAAAGCCTTAACTTTCCTACAGGTCCACCAAACATGATAATACGTAGCATCCAAACATTCGCATCTCCAACATTTTGGCTGAACATTAGGGTACATACATGACAACTTTTTAGGATCTAAATGCCATCTATAAAACATTTTATAAAAATTTTCCCTCAGATTCTGCGACTGTGTAAATTTAACATTCTGAACCCAAATTTTTTCCCATGTTTCCAACATCACTGGTTCTTCAAAATTTTGTGCCCACTTAATCATACAATCTTTAACTAATTCCGTTTCTGAATCCCTTTCTAGCAAAACATTATAAAGCCTTTTAATATGCATTGGACCTTTCTCTCTTATATGTCTAACCAATTCTTCCTCATGCAACATAATACCAGTTTTTTGGTCCTCTTTCCATCTCAATTGTAATTGATTATATTGTAACCAAGTTAAATTAATCCCTTCGTCCAACAGTGTCTGCAATGTCTTCAGCTGCCATCTGCCCGCATCTGTAAAAAGAACCTCTTTGTATAAACCCCCCCCGAGTGACATTATATTTGTATTCCACAAGGTATGACCAAGATCCAGCCATAGCGGTATTTTATAATCCCATTTGAGTCGGTGCTTCTTCCAAACTCTCATCAAAGAGTCTCTAAGTATATGACTTTTAAATACTTTATCAACTTTGTCATCATAAAATAGGTAAGCATGCCATCCAAATTCAAGATCAAAACTTTCTGCATTCAATATTCCAGTCTTTTTACTTCCAAACCAATCACTTGTTAAAGTTAAAGCTGCTGCATCATAATATAACTGTAGGTTTGGAAGTTTAAGGCCTCCTCTTTCTGGAACATCTTGCATAATTTTCAATTTCACTCTCGGCTTCTTCTCGTTCCAGACAAACTTATTAAGTCCAGTTTGCCAAACTTTCAGTTGTTTATCACTTTTAAGCACCGGAATCATTTGAAACAAAAACAGAAATCTTGGCAAAATGTTCATCTTAACTGCTGCTATTCTTCCAAGTAAAGACAGTTGCAGCTTTTTCCAAGTCTCCATGTCTTTCTGAACCTCTCGCCACAACACCTCATAGTTATTTTGAAACAATTTCATATTTGATTCTGCAACCTGAACTCCAAGATATTTTACCTTAGGTACAATTTCAAAACCTGCCCTCCTTTCAAACTCATGTTTACGATCTTGTGTCATATTTTTGACTATCATTTTAGTCTTTTTTGAATTCACTCTAAAACCTGAAACTCTACCATAGTCTTGTATAATGTCGTTCATCAGGATTATTATCAATATTATTATTGATTTTTTGATTTTATTGAATTTATTTTAATAAAAAACTTTTGGGGTAAAAATCTATCGTAAGATAGTTTTCTATTTAAGATACATAAATAATTTAGTTTATTCAGCATGAAATGGAGCTTAGTTATGTAGCAGGAGGCTGTATATTCTGCAACACTGGGACTATCGGTGAGTCAACAGCGGGTCAAAGGAGTAGCAGAGATGACAGTTGCTCTTTAAAAATTGTGATTTAAATCAAGTTGATTTAAATCAAGCCTTTTTACTAGTGATTTAAATCATGATTTAAATTGTGATTTAAATCAACTCGATTTAAATCAAATCCACCCTGGGCTAGTCTAAAGAAAAAGAAGAATTAGGGGTGACATGATAGCAGTCATCCAGTATTTGAGGGGCTGCCCCAAAGAAGAGGGGGTCAAATTATTCTCCAAAGCAACCGAAGGCAGGACAAGAAACAATGGATGGAAACTAATCAAGGAGAGAAGCAACCTGGAATTGAGGAGAAACTTCCTAACAGGGAGGACAATTAACCAGTGGAACTGCTTGCCACCAGAAATCATGACTGCTCCATCACTGGAGGATTTTAAGAAGAGACTACACAGTCACTTAACTGAAATGGTATAGGTCCGTGATGGCAAACCTATGGCACACCTGCCACAGGTGGCACGCGTAGCCATATCAGTGGGCATGCGAGCTCAGCTCTGGTGCGCATGTGTGCGCCGGCCAGCTAATTTTCGGGTCTTCTGGGCCCACCAGAAGTAGGGAAGCAGGCTATTTCCTGCTTCCGGAGGGCCTGGGGGTGGGTGGGAAAGGCCCATTTTTCTTTCTTACCTGGCTCCAGAGCCTCTCTAGGAGTCTGGGGAGGGCGAAAACAGCCTTCCCCAACCCCCAAGAGATTCTCCGGAGTCCAAAAACGGCCAGTTTGACAACTTCCGGTCCCACTGGAAGTTGTCAAACAGGCCGTTTTCGGCCTCTGGAGGGGTGGGGAAGGCTGTTTTCACCCTCCCCAGACGCCCGAGAGAGGCCCTGGAGGCTGGGGACAGCAAAAAAACGGCCTTCCGGTCCCTCCGGAAGTTGTTAAACCGGCTGTTTTCACCCTCCGGAGGACCTCCCGGGGGGGGAGGCCGTTTTCGCCCTCCCCAGACTCCTAGAGAGGCCCTGGAGCCAGGTGAAAAAAAACTGGCCTACCGGGCCATCGCATGGAAGTGGGCGGGGGTCGCATGTGGGCGGGGCGCATAGAATTAATGGTGTGGGGACACGCGTGAGCGACCCCCCCCGCCACTCCCTCTCCTGGCACGCGATGGCAAGAAGGTTAGCCATCACTGGTATAGGTTCTCCTGTTTGAGCAGAGGGCTGGACTAGAAGACCTCCAAGGTCCCTTCTAACCTTATTATTCTGTTAACGTGCTGTCGAATGGTGTCATTTCTTAATGTGTGATGCTGTTCCTTTTTTTTTCAGATTGCCCTGGCTAGTTTCTATGAAGATGGTGGTGACGAAGACATCATGACCCTCCCACAACCAACCTCTAGCTACGTTACCAGAGGCACGGCAGCCAGGTGATGTAACCTACCTGCTTTTGAGAAAATTAATGCTAGAAAAACAATTTCTAACGAATTGCTGGCCCCCACGGAGAGGGCTCGCAACTTGGGCGTCCTCCTGGATTCATGGCTGTCTTTAGAAGAGCACTTGACGGCCGTGACCGGGAGGATTTTTCATCAGGTTTGCCTGATCCGCCAGTTGCGTCCCTTTCTGGATCGGGACTCTTTACGCACGGTCACTCATGCCCTCGTCACCTCCCGCCTGGACTATTGTAACGCTCTCTACATGGGGCTCCCCTTGAAAAGCATGCAGAGGCTCCAACTGGCGCAGAGTGCGGGCCCGCGGGGGTGGTTATGGGAGCGGCGTGGAGTTCCCATGTAACGCCTCTCCTGCGCGAGCTGCACTGGCTCCCGGTGGTCTTCTGAGTACGCTTCAAGGTTTTGGTTACCACCTTTAAAGCGCTCCATGGCTTAGGACCTGGTTATCTACGGGACCGCCTGCTACCACCAATAGCCTCCCACCGGCCAGTACGCTCCCATAGAGAGGGGCTCCTCCAGGTGCCGTCGGCCAAACGATGTCGACTGGCGGCCCCTAGGGAGAGAGCCTTCTCTGTGGGGCACCTATGATCTGGAACGAGCTCCCCCCAGAGATACGGAGGATCCCGGATCTACGCACCTTCCGTCGCGCGCTTAAGACTTCCTTATTTCATCAAGCTGGCCTGGCCTAAATCCTCTCCCCTTTTTAAATGCAAATTTTAATTTGTTTTTAAATTATGGGGTATTTTAAATTTGTTTAGCCAAATTATTTAATTCGTTTTTAATTTATTTTTTGTATTTATGTGTTTTATCTTGTGGCTGTTCACCGCTCTGAGTCCTTCGGGAGAAGGGCGGTATAGAAATTTAATAAAATAAATAAAAATAAAAAAAATAAAATAAAATTGGATTTGGGTCTTGGAGAGCAGAGCAGAGCAGAATCTACCAGGGAAGTCTGCTGTTCATAGCAATGGAATTCCCTAAACAAGGGGCTTCCGGGAAATGGCGCTCGGTGAGGATGTGATTGTATGAGTAGCTCTTGATTTACGAGCGCAACCGAACCCAAAATTTGCATTGCTGAGCAAGACAGTAGTTAAATGAATTTTTTTGTCCCATTTTACAATCTTTCTTAAGCCTCAGTTCTTTTTTTTTTTTTTTTTTTTTAATTTGATTTATATGCCGCCCTTCTCCGGAGACTCAGGGCGGCTTACAATGCGTTAAGCAATAGCCTTCATACTTTTGTATATTTTTACAAAATCAGCTTATTGCCCCCACAAACTGGGTCCTCAATTTACCTACCTTAGAAAGGATGGAAGGCTGAGTCAACCTTGAGCCTGGCGAGATTCGAACCTGCAGTAATTGCAGACAGCTGGAGTTAAATTACAATGCATTAGTCTGCTGAGCTATCCAGGCTCCTTAAGTTCTTAAGTGAATCACAGTGGTTGTTAAATGAGTAACATGGTTGTTAAGTGAATGTGGCTTCCAGGATTGATTTTGCTTGTCGGAAGGTCACAAAAAGGGATTCTGAGACCCTGGGACACTGCAACCGTCATAAATACGAGTCATTTGCCAAGCATTTGAATTTTGATCACGTGGCCACAGGGATGCTGCAATGGTCATAAGTGTGAAAAACGGTCATAAGTCACTTTTCCCCCCAGTGCCATCTTTATTTGCAGGGGGTTCACTTTTGCAACCTGTATAAATTCATGCTCAGCTGCATCAGTGCAATGAGGAAGGATAGCAAAGCCAGCATCCTGGCTGGTGAATTCTGGGATTTGAACTCCACCCATCTTAAAGCAAGCCGGCTGGGGAATTCTGGGCGATGAAGTCCACGCATCTCAAACCATGCTGGCTGGGGAATTCTCGGATTTGGGAATCCACCTGTGTTAAAGCCTGCTGGCTGGGGAATTCTGGGAGTTGAAGTCCACCCATCTTAAATAAATACATAATTTTATTTCTATACCACCCTTCTCCTGAAGGACTCAGGGCGGTGTACAGCCTATTAAAAGCACAAAGACAGACATCATAATGTCGGTCTATAAATTTGATAATAAATAATAAATAAAAAATAAAAATTATTAAATAATTTCGGCTCAGATTTAAAAGTCCCAAAATTTAAAACACCCAATTTAAAATTATTATGTTGATAGCCCGGCCTGGCGGAACAGCGGGTCTTGAGGACACAGCGAAATACACGGGAGGTCGGAGATCTTGCGCATTTCTGGGGGCAGATCATTCCACAGGGCAGGGGTTCCCACAGAGAAGGCCCTCCCCCTGGGTGTTGCCAGCCGACATAATTTGGCCGATGGCACCCTGAGGAGACCCGCTCTGTGGGAGCGAACTGGTCGGTGGGAGGCTATTGGTGGCAGAAGACGGTCTCGAAGGTACCCGGGTCCTATGCCATGGAGCGCTTTAAAGGTGGTAACCAGCACCTTGAATCGCACCCGGAAGACCACTGGGAGCCAGTGCAGCTCGCGCAGGAGGGGTGTCACGTGGGCACAACGGGTTGCGCCCATAACCACCCGCGCGGCCGCATTCTGGACCAGTTGGAGCCTCTGAGTGCTCTTCAAGGGGAGCCCCACGTAGAGAACATTGCAATAGTCCAGCCGGGAGGTGACAAGGGCGTGAGTGACTGTGCGCAAGGCATCCCGGGTCTGCTGGCTGGGGAATTCTAGGAATTGAAGCCAACATTCTTAAAGTTTGAAAAACCTTAATCCCATGGTGGTGAACCAATGGCACGCCTGCCACAGGTGACACACAGTGCCCTCTCAGTGGGCACGCCAGCTGTCGCCCCAGCCCAGCTCCACCGGGCATGTGTGCGTGCCTCCTGCCAGCCAGCTGGTCTTTGGGTCTGTGCTGCGCATGCATGGAGGGTAGGGGGCATGTGGGGGGGTGCACACGTGCATGCACGGGGGCAGAACACATGCGCAAGGGGGCACTTGCATTGCATTTTGGGGGTTCGTGCATGCATGCTTCCCCGCACCCTGGTTTGGGCCTGGAAAACCTCCTGTACCAATCTAGAAGTCAAAACGGGGCAAGGGGGGGCAGTGTGAGCCCCCCATGCCCCATTTTGTGCCTGGAAACCCTCCTACACCAACCTAGAAGCCAAAAAGGGACATGGGGGGCTCCTCATGAGCAGGGGGGATGGGGCGCATGCACGGAGAACATGTGCACATGCACAAGGGCGGGGCGTATGCACGAGGGGGCAGTCACATTGCATTTTGGGGGTTTGGGCACGTGTGCGTGCATTCACGCTTGGGTGCGCATGCTTTGGAGTTCGGCACCAAAAAGGTTAACCATCACTGCTTTAATCTAACGGACTGGGCCAAACCTGAATGCAGAAGGTGTCATCAATGGATTTAGAGATAGAATAGAATAGAATAACAGAGTTGGAAGGGACCTTGGAGGTCTTCTAGTCCAACCCTCTGCCCAGGCAGGAAACCCTACGTCACTTCAGACAAATGGTTATCCAACATCTTCTTAAAAATTTCCAGTGTTGGAGCATTTACAACTTCTGGTGGCAAGCTGTTCCACTGGTTAATTGTTCTCACTGTCAGGAATTTTCTCCTTCGTTCCAGGTTGCTTCTCTCCTTGATTAGTTTCCACCCATTGCTTCTTGTTCTACTCTCAGGTGCTTTGGAGAATAGCTTGACTCCCTCTTCTTTGGGGCAACCTCTGAGATATTGGAAGACTGCTATCATGTCTCCCCTGGTCCTTCTCTTCATTAGACTAGACCTACCCAGTTCCTGCAACCGTTCTTCATATGTTTTAGCCTCCAGTCCCCTAATCCTCTTGGTTGCTCTTCTCTGCACTCTTTCTAGAATCTAGATGAAAATAGTAATGTTCAATTGGATCTGGAATGCAGTTGGCGGTCCATTTCCCCTGTGACCCTGTGTAACCCCTTTGGTGGCTGTTGCAAATCCGCTTCCTGGTTTACAATTGCAGCTTAAGTATTGCGCCGGGACCTTTTTCCTTTTCATCCTGGTCATCCAGACCCTGAAAGATTCCGAGGAGGGAAACCACATCGGAGGATGCAGCAAACTAATTTGATATTTGTTTTTTCTTCCTCCAGCGACCACAGGGTGACGTCGTTCCGTGACCTCGTTCACGCTCAGGAGGAGGAGGAGGAGGAGGAGGAAGGACAAAGGTTGGTCACTGGTCAGATGGAAGGAGGAACTGGGAAAGTCTGTGTGGGTCGTAAGTCGAGGACTACGTGTAAAAACAATCCAGGGACAGACAAAGAGACAGATGTGGCACCGGCCTCTAAAATACCCAGGTCTGCCATAACTGGAAAACGCTCCAAAAAAGACACTGGGTCATATCAGATAAAAAATAATCTTCCTTTAATCCCATGATCGAAATAATACTCTCATTACCTCCTCTTGCTATCTCGGCTATTTCTTTTTTAATTTTAGCGTATGCATTGTTTTACTGTTTTAATCTTTTATAATATCGTTTTATTGGATTGTTAGCCAGCCAGAATTGCATGACAGTGCGATGGTTGGTGAATAAATTTAATAAATAAAATAGCTGAAAAATCAGGTGGGGACATACGACGATTATTTTAGTTCGCTTCTGTGCCTTCCCACCCTATTTTATAGTTGAAGTGAGCTGAAGTGAGTACAGATAACTCCTTGAAGCACGACCCCAATTGATCTCAAAATTTATGTTGCTAAGTGTGACAGTTGTTAAGTGAGTTTAACCCATTTTACAATCTTTTGGGCCACACTTGTTTTAAGTGAATCCCTGCCGTTGTTAAGTGAGTAAAATGGTGGTTAAGTGAATCTGGCTTCCCCATCGACTTTGCTTGTCAGAAGATAGCAAAAGGGGATCATGTGACTCCAGGACACTGCGATTGTCATAAATACGAGACAATTGCCAAGGGCCTGAATTTTTGATCACATGACTCTGGGAATGCTACAGCGGTCGTTAAGTGTGGAAAACGGTCATAAGTCCCTTTATATAGTGGTGGTGTAACTCCAAATGGTCACTAAATGAACTGTTATGATTAATTAATTTTATTTACTGCAGAGGTCTTCAAACTTGGCAGCTTTAAGACTTGTGGACTTCAACTCCCAGAATTCTCCAGCCGGCTGGAGAATTCTGGGAGTTGAAGTCCACAAGTCTTAAAGCTGCCAAGTTTGAAGACCTCTGATTTACTGATTAGCCCTTGGGCCGTATCTTAGCATGAACTGTTGTAAGTCGAGGACTGTCGGTAAATTTGCTTCATTTCTAACATTCTCATAAGTTTGCTCGTTCGTTTTCGATTTCTGAAGCCGTGCATCTCAGCAAACGACGCTGAGTGGCTCGGAATTCGGACAATTAAATTTTTTTTAAAAAAACATTTCAAAAACAAGAAAAGCTGCGAAAGCTCATTAAGACGTTTGCCATCAGCCGTTGGGTTCGCTGTGCTTCTGAAGTTGGCCACGGATGAGGACTTTCCTTCAAGGGACGCTCAAGTCTTGCTCTCTTTCGCTCAGGTTTTATGCCGGTGGGTCAGAACGAAGCGGGCAGCAGATCGTTGGCCCCCCGAGAAAGAAAAATTCGAACGAGCTGGTGGAAGATCTGTTCCGGGGGGCTAAAGAACACGGGGCTGTGGCTGTCGACAGGACAGCTAAGAGCCCCGGGGAAGGCAGCCGGCCAAAGGTGAGAATTAGCCTTTCGGTAGAGGTCTAATCCATACTTTTGAGGGGGCTTGGGTGGGTGGGCCGATTTGCTTTCAACTGGTCTTAAGGGTACCCTCAAACAGACCTGTGCTTGGCACAGAAGGCGGGGGGTGGGGGGAGAGTTTGAGGTCCTCAGTGCTTTCTGAGCTGGGTGGTTTTCTTGCAGACGTTTCATGACCCAACTAGGGAACGTCATCAGTGCTAGAGGGGAGTGGGGTTTATGGAGAAGGAGGAAGTGGGGAGAGGAGGACTATGGGGTCCTTGGTGATCTCTGAGCTGGGTTGTTTTCTTGAAGACGTTTCATGACCCAACTAGGGATCGTCATCAGTGCTAGAGGGGAGTGGGGTTTATGGAGAAGGAGGAAGCGGGGAGAGGAGGACTATGGGGTCTTTGGTGATCTCTGAGCTTGGTGGTTTTCTTGTAGACATTTCATAACCCAACTAGGGAACATCAGTGTTAGAAAGGAGTGGGCCTTGCAGGGAGGAGGGGGATGACTAGGGGGGTCCTTGGTGCTTTCCGAGCTTGATTCTTTTCTTGCAGACATTTCATGATCCAAATAGGTAACATCATCAGTGCTAGAAGAAGGTGGGGTTTGTTTTTTGCCTATATACGGGGGTGGTGCTGTGGTCCCCCCCCCCGGTAATTCCTTGATTCGGGTATTGTTTTCTGCTTGATTGTTTGTCTGGTGTTAATCCATGCTTATCTGGGTTTTCTCTTTCTGCGGAATCCTTGGATGTTCTCTGAGCTTGGTTGTTTTCTTGCAGACATTTTGTGACCTAACTAGGTAACGTCATCCGCGCTAGAAGGGAAGTGGGGTTTGCAGAGAGGAAGAGAAGAAGGAGAAGGAGGGAGGAGGAGGAGGAAGAGGAGGAGGAAGACTGCTGTGATTGGTGGTCTCTGAGCGTGGTGGTTTTCTTGAAAACATTTCTTTACCCAGCTGCGTAATATCATCACTGCTAGAAGCGGGTGGCGTTGTGGAGGAGAAGAGAGGAGGAGGAGAACTGTTGGTGCTCTCTGAGCTTGGTTGCTTCCTTGCAGATGTTTGATGACCCAACTAGGTAACATCATCAGTGTTAGAAGGGAGTCGGATTCTGGAAGGGGGGTGGGGAAGAGGAGAAGCAGGAGAAGAAGAAGGAGGAAGAGGAGGAGGAAGACTGGGGTGTCCTTGGTGTCCTGAGCTTGGCTGTTTCCTTGCACATATTTCATGACCCAACTAGTGGGCGTGGCATGGCTATCTGAGGAATTCTGGGAGTTGGAGTCCACAAATCTTAAAGCCAACACATTTGGAGACCTCTGAGTTAGAGGAATAGGAAGCATTGGTCCCCTCCCCTTTTTAGTTTTTAGTTTTTAAATTGTCAAAGGGGTTTTAGTTTCAATGTTTTAAATTTTTGGGCCACACTTATTTAATTCTTTTAATAATTTTAAATTTTGTATCGATGTGTTTTAGTCTGGCTGTGTACCGCCCTGAGTCCACTTGGAGAAGGGCGGGATATAAATTGAATAAAATAAAATAAAAATAATAAATTGGTCGCTGTAGTGTATTTCATCTATATTCTGTCTCCTGTGGATGCTGTTGGGATTTTAAAAAAAACCCTCAAATCAAGACACTTCTAAGAAAGGTTTACAAAAATCCCTGGTATTTTGGAATTCGTGTTACTCAGTGCTTAATTCGGAGACCTGAAAGAACATTACTTTGTCCTATGTAAAAAAATAAAATAAAATAAATCAGATAGGATGGAGGAACTTGAAAGGAAAGCTGATAATTTTAAAATTGGTTTTAAATTGATTGGGGTTTTAATTTGTCTGGGCCAAAACTATTTAATTTGATTTTAATTTCACTTTTAAATTTTGTATGTATGTATTTTATTGTTTGGCTGTGCACCGCCCTGAGTCCTTCGGGAGTAGGGCGGTATAGAAATCAAATAAAATAAATAAATAAATGAAAATAATAGCTTTAAACAGCAGCCGAGCTTCATGGAGAAGAACTGGGCTAGCCCCCCCCTGCCCTCTCTCCCACCCACCCCCAAATCTGGCTGGTGACTACTTCTTTTTTTAAAATAGTTTTTATTGAATTTTTAAGTTTTTTTTAAAAAAAGTAAAGAAAAATACAACGAAAAACGAAAACCACATTAAAAACACGTAACAAACATAACATTGTTTATCGTTTTAATTAATGGGGCCAAATCTATATATATTTTTTTAACTGTATTTTAATATTTGTATTTGATGTTTTTATTTGGCTGTTCACCGCCCTGAGTCCTCAGGGAGAAGGGCGGTATACAAATTCAAAATAAAATAAAATAAAAATAAAATTACATCATATATTATTTTACAGCTTACTGTATCGACACGGATGTATATTCTCTATTCTTATTCAATCGTCCATCTACGTCCTTATATTTACATTAGTATCTACTTACAAAACCATCATTATCCGGTTAACACTATCCAGTGATTTACACTTCCTAGTTTTAACCCAATTAAATTAACATTCCGAATTATTATTTTGATCTCTTTTTTTCTAGCCAATCGTATTGTTTGTTCCACACTCTACAATATTCCGACGCTTCCCTCCCCTTAATTCCCAGCTTCAACTTATCCATTTCTGCACATTGTAGAATTGTTCGAATTACTGTTTCCTCTCCTGGTACTTTATTTTCTGGCTGGTGACTTTTTGTTCATTCCTCTTCCTGCCCCCCCCGCCACCCCCCCCCACCGGCAGCCCTTTGCAGGAGGCGGGTATCGCTTGGGAGCTGCACCCGAGGAAGAGTCCGCTTACGTCGCGGGAGAATTGAGGCAGAACGCTGCCCAAGATGTGAGTATTTCAGGCCTTGAACTGAAATCCGGGACAATCGGAGGTTAGAGCTCTGAGGGTCCCAAACTTATCGTATGAAATCAAATATTTATCACGGGCCAAGAGTTCCAGCGGAGTCCCCAAACTTAGAAGCCGCTGGCAGGCTGTGGAATTTTTGATTTCTCCCAGGTAAGGCGGGGTTAGGAAGCGGTCAGTCACTGTTCAGGCCTGGGGAAAGTTTTTGGGATTTTGGAAAATTAGGAAGGTCTGGATCGGTAGAAGAAGGTTGCAGATATTCAGTTGAACAAGGAGGTCCCTTCCTTCCTTCCTTCCCCTTCCTTCCTTCCTTCCTTCCTTCCTTCCTTCCTTCCTTCCTTCCTTCCTCTTTCTTTCTTTCCTTCCTTCCTTCCTTCCTTCCTTCCTTCCTTCCTTCCTTTCTTTCCTTTCTTTCCTTCTTTTTCTTTCTCTCTCTCACTCTCTCACTCTTTCCGTCCCTCCCTCCCTCCCTTCCTCTCTCTCCCCCCCCTCTTCCTACCTCCCTCCGTCACCTAGAGTGACTTGGGTGGCCGTATAAATGTTCTCAATCAATCAATCAGAATGCAGTATTGCAGGCTAATTCTACCAACTGCCAGGAGTTCGATCCTGACTGGCTCAAGGCTGACTCAGCCTTTCGTCCTTCTGAAGTCAGTAAAATGAGGACCCAGATTGTTGGGGGCCAGAGGCTGACTCTGTAAACCACTTAGAGAGGGCTGTAAAAGCACTATGAAGCGGTATATAAGACTTATATACTATTATGCTATTCCTTCCTTCCTTCCTTCCTTCCTTCCTTCCTTCCTTCCTTCCTTCCTTCCTCCCTCCCTCCCTCCCCCCTCCCTCCTCCCTCCCTCCCTCCCTCCCCACCCCTCCCCTCCCTCCCCCCTTCCTTCCTCCTTCCCTCCTTCCCTCCCTCCTTCCTTCCTTCCTCCCCACCCCTCCCCTTCCTTCCTTCCTTCCTTCCTTCCTTCCTTCCTCCCTCCCTCCCTCCGTCCCCTCCTCCTTCCTTCCTTCCTTCCTTCCTTCCTCCCTCCCTCCCTCCCTCTCCCCTCCCACCCCTCCCCCTTCCTTCCTTCCTTCCTTCCTTCCTTCCTCCCTCCCTCCTCCCTCCTTCCTTCCTTGTCATGGTGGCGCAGTGGCTAGAATGCAGTATTGCAGGGTAATTCTGCCAACTGCCAGGAGTTCTATTCCTACCTCAAGGCTGACTCAGCCTTCCGTCCTTCCGAGGTCCATAAAATGAGGACCCATCTTGTTGGGGGCAAGACAGCCGCTCAGAGAGAGCTGTAAAAGGCACTGTGAGGCGGTATATACGTCCAAGCGCTGTTGCTAACCCATCGATCTTGCCTTTCGTAGGTCCACGTAGTCCTGAAGCTGTGGAAAAGCGGATTTAGCTTAGACAGTGGCGAGCTGAGGAGCTACCAGGATCCCTCCAACTCTCAGTTCCTGGAGTCCATCCGTCGGGGGTAATACTTCTTGTCCTGGGGAAGATTCAGACCCACAGCTGGCACTCACCAGCTGCTCAGGTCTGACCTTCCCAGGGCTCAATTTGTCTTGAAAATAAGAACGGGGCAAGTCCCAGGCCGCGTCTTCCTTCGTTCGGGAAAAGGCGGCGAGTAGACCTTCTCCTGAGAGCGGCTTTCCTTCCTTTCCTTCCTTCTTAGAGAAGTGCCCGCCGAGCTCCGTCGGTTGGCACGTGGCGGGCAGGTCAACCTGGATCTAGAGGATCACCGCGATGAGGATTTCATGAAGGCCAGGGGGACCTTCAGGGCTTTCACCGGAGAAGGCCAGAAGCTAGGCAGGTAAGTAAGCGGGATATTTATGTCTTTATTTATTTATTAGGTTTTGCCATAAAAATATCCCAATAAAAGAAAATGGGAAACAGTAATACAGTAAACAATTCTTACTTTAAGATTCAGAGGTTTATTTCGTGAGCAGTTTGGAACATGAGCAGCCATCATAACACAATTTATATCAATATCCCATTGCAATGAAGTCCACTGACATAGAATTAGAATAGAACGGAACGGAACAGAACAGAATTCTTTATTGGCCAAGTGTGATTGGACACACAAGGAATTTGTCTTTGGTGCATAAGCTCTCAGTGTACATAAAAGAAAAGATACATTCATTAAGAATCATAAGGTACAACACTTAAGGATAGTCATAGGGTACAAATAAGAATAGAACAGAATAGAGTAGAGTAGAGTAGAGTAGGGTAGACTAGAATAGACTTGACTAGAATAGAATAGAATAGACTAGAATTCTTTATTGGCCAAGTGTGATTGGACACACAAGGAATTTGTCTTTGGTGCATACGCTCTCAGTGTACATAAAAAGAGAAGATACGTTCGTCAAGAATCATAAGGTACAACACTTAATGATAGTCATAGGGGTCAAATAAGCAATCAGGAAACAATATCAACATAAATCGTAAGGATCCAAGCAACAAAATTACATTCATACAGTCCTAAGTGGGAGGAGATGGGTGGTGGGAACGATGAGAAGATTAATAGTAATGCAGCCTTACTGAATAGTTTGACAGTGTTGAGGGAATGTCGTAAATTGCTTTTATGATAATACGTCATAAAAACATTTTATAACGTTGGCTAGATTTCAATCCCACGGGTTTTGGGGACGCCTTCTGTAAGTTAGTCCATTCATGGCACCTCGGTTTAAAAGGTTTGCCCAGTTCAAAGCTGCAGGGATCAGAGCCCCCGTAGTATACAGGTAGTCCTTGACTTACAACCATTCGCCTAGTAGCACTAGCAATAGCACTTAGACTTATATACCGCTTCCCAGTGCTTTACAGCCCTCTCTAAGCAGTTTACAGAGCCAGCCACTTGCCCCCAACAATCTGGGTCCCGGAATCGCTTAGTGACGGTTCCAAGCTCAAAGTTAACTAATGGCAGTGAAAAAAGTGACGTATGACCGCTTTTCGCACTCATGCACATTGCAGGGTCATGTGATCGAAATTCAGGCACTTGGCAAGTGGTTCATATTTACGATGATGATGGCATTGTCCCCGGGGGGGTGGGGGGAGAGGTGTCATGTGATCACCTTTTGCATGTTTGGTCTAGTGGTTAAGGTAACCAGGAGGCAGTGAGTTCTAGTTAGTCCCACCTTAGGCAGGACAGCCAGCTGGTGACTTTGGGCCAATTTCCCAGGAGATTGGGAGTTCTAGTCCCGCCTTAGGCATGAAAGCCAGCTGGGTGATTTGGGTCCAATCCCCAGGAGTCTGGGAGTTCTAGTGCCGCCTTAGGCGTGAAAGCCAGCTGGGTGACTTGGGTCCAATCCCCAGTAGTCTGGGATTTCTAGTCCTGCCTTAGGCGTGAAAGCCAACTGGGTGACTTGGGTCCAATCCCCAGGAGTCTGGGAGTTCTAGTCCCGCCTTAGGCGTGAAAGCCAGCTGGGTGACTTGGGTCCAATCCCCAGGAGTCTGGGAGTTCTAGTCCCGCCTTAGGCGTGAAAGCCAACTGGGTGACTTGGGGCCACTCCCCAGGAGTCTGGGAGTTCTAGTCCCGCCTTAGGTGTGAAAACCAGCTGGGTGATTTGGGTCCAATCCCCAGGAGTCTGGGAGTTCTAGCCCCGCCTTAGGAATGAAAGCCAACTGGGCGACTTGGGGCTAATCACCGGGAGTCTGGGAGTTCTAGCCCTGCCTTAGGCATGAAAGCCAGCTGGGTGACTTTGGGCTAATCACCAGGAGTCTGGGAGTTCTAGTCCCGCCTTAGGCATGAAAGCCAACTGGGTGACTTGGGCCAATCCCCAGGAGTCTGGGAGTTCTAGTCCCGCCTTAGGCATGAAAGCCAACCGGGTGACTTTGGGCCAATCCCCAGGAGTCTGGGAGTTCTAGTCCCACCTTAGGCATGAAAGCCGACTGGGTGGCTTGGGTCCAATCCCGAGGAGTCTGGGAGTTCTAATCCTGCCTTCGGCATGAAAGGCAGCTGGATGGCTTGGGTCCAATCCCCAGGAGTCTGGGAGTTCTAGTCCCGCCTTAGGCATGAAAGCCAACTGGGTGACTTTGGACTTGCCTCTCAGCCCAACCCACCTCACAGGGATTTTGTGGTGGGGAAAATAGGAGGAGGAAGGTCTGTTGGACATGGTCGCCACCTCGAGTTATTTGTAAAAATAATAAAAAGGAAAGAAATACAAAGAAATAAAGTCATAAAAATAGTTAATTTGTCCTCGCAACCCATCAATGGAGCTTTAATTCATCGGGGGCCGTTCGGTGACATCCTAGCCAGAGAGCTTGGCAGTTTCCCACGGACCTTTTCTGCAAAGGACTCAAAACGTTTTTTTTGCAAATCCGACTTACCCTTAGGCTCCTCTTGTCTCTGCTTTGGCCCTAGCACTGTCCCCCAAGTGATGGGCACCAGCTCGCCCTCCCAGCAGGCGGAAAACGAAGCCAAAGCCCGTTCCCTGATCACCATCGATGAGACGGAGCCCACCACCAACATCCAGATCCGGCTTGCAGACGGTGGGCGTCTCGTACAGAAATTCAACCACAGTCACAGGTAAGGGGGGTGGGGAGAAGGAGGATGTGAGTAAGGGGTGGGCAAAGGAGGAATGGTTGGACCAGCCAAAGCCTGAAGTTGATGCTGGATATGAACTTCCGGAAGTTTTAACAGTTTGTTTAGGCATGAAAGCCAATTGGGTGACTTTGGGCCAATCACCAGGAGACAGTGAGTTCTAGTCCGCCTTAGGCATGAAAGCCAGCTGTGTGACTTTGGGCCAATTCCCCAGGAGACTGTGAATTCTAGTCCCACTTTAGGCATGAAAGCCAACTGGGTGACTTTGAGCTAATCACCAGGAGATGATGAGTTCTAGTCCCACCTTAGGAACGAAAGCCAACTGGGTGAATTTGGGCTAATCACCAGGAGATGGTGAGTTCTAGTTCTGCCTTAGGCATGAAAGCCAACTGGGTGACTTTGAGCTAATCACCAGGAGATGATGAGTTCTAGTTCTGCCTTACGCATGAAAGCCAACTGGGTGAATTTGGGCTAATCACCAGGAGATGGTGAGTTCTAGTTCTGCCTTAGGCACGAAAGCCAACTGGGTGACTTTGAGCTAATCACCAGGAGATGATGAGTTCTAGTCCCACCTTACGCACGAAAGCCAACTGGGTGAATTTGGGCTAATCACCAGGAGATGGTGAGTTCTAGTTCTGCCTTAGGCATGAAAGCCAACTGGGTGACTTTGAGCTAATCACCAGGAGATGATGAGTTCTAGTCCCACCTTAGGCACGAAAGCCAACTGGGTGAATTTGGGCTAATCACCAGGAGATGATGAGTTCTAGTCCCACCTTAGGCACGAAAGCCAACTGGGTGAATTTGGGCTAATCACCAGGAGACAGTGAGTTCTAGTCCCGCTTTAGGCATGAAAGCCAACTGGGTGACTTTGGGCCAATCCCCAGGAGACAGTGAGTTCTAGTCCCGCTTTAGGCATGAAAGCCAACTGGGTGACTTTGGGCCAATCCCCAGGAGACAGTGAGTTCTAGTCCTGCCTTAGGCATGAAAGCCAACTGGGTGACTTTGAAACAGTCGCCTTCTCTCACCCAACCTACCTCACAGGATTGTCGTCATAGAAACAAAAACAGGAAGGACTATTAGGCACGTCTGCCGCCTTATTTGTAAAAGAGAATAAAAAGGAGCTACTCATAAACATTCCGAAAAGCCACCCAACCATAGTGCCCCCTTTTCTCCGGACAGGATCCGCGACATCCGGCTGTTCATCGTGGACGCCCGGCCGGCTATGGCCGCCACGGGCTTCGTCCTCATGACCACTTTCCCTAACAAGGAGCTCTCGGACGAGGACCAGACTCTGAAGGACGCCAACCTCCTGAACGCCGTCATCGTCCAGCGGTTCGTATAAGGGATAGCCCGCCCTCCCGCCCGCCGGTCCACATCGCGCCTCGCTCTCGCTCTCTTTGCGGCGCTCACCGGCCTCGCCGCACAAGGTGGCCACCAGGCGATCACAGCCAGTTTCCCCGGCTCTGCGGATTGGCCTATCGGGCGTTGCGTTTCCCGTATATTCGGGTTTTCTTTTCTTTTTTTTAATTTCTATTTTTTCTTTCTTTCTCCTGTGCTCATCCATGGACTTTTACGAAAGAAACGAAGTACCAAACCGAGAGTGGGTTGTAGGTTTTTGGTTTTTTTGTTTTGTTTTGGGTTGGTTTCCCGGTGTGCCTGCCGGAGCCTGTGCCGGATAACGGAGGCAGCAGCCTTTTTTTTGGGAAGTGGGAGCGCGAATGGGAGGTCCCGGAGTCTGTCCTGGGTCCTGTTTTGGGAGTGGGCGGCCCCCCCCCATTCTTCCTTCTCTTTCGGTGTATTAAATAAAGTGAACCCCAAAAAGGGACCTCTTTTATTTTTATTTTTATTTTTATTTTCTTCCTATCGTCAACCAACTCCTGTTTTTTCAATCTGGTCAACTTTTTAAGACGGGTGGATTTCCAACTCCCGGAATTCTGGGAGTTGAAAATCCGTCCCTCTTCAAAGTTGACCAGATTGAAAAACATTGCTTTATAGGAGATTGTCAAATTCTCCCCTTCTTAAACAGGCTAATTTCTCCCTCCCTCCTTTCCTCCCTCCTTCCTTGCCACCCTCTTTTTTTTTTAAAACCCCTCCTTCACCCCAAAAGTTTTGGGGCACGATACGACGATGCCAGGTATGGCTTCGTGGTTGAAATTTTGCATGTCAGCTCAACATGCAAAGGAATCATTTTTATTAATTGTCCAGCGGGGCCTTTGACCTTCGGGTTCATTTTTTTGTGAGGGGGTTCTAAGGAAGTTCACAGAGTGGGGGGGGGGACTAGAGCGGGCTGTCCATCTATCTGTCTGTCTAACTGGAACCTGCCTGTTTTGAGAATTGGACGCCGTCCCCCAACTGCCTTTTTGGTTAGTCCTCTGCTGTCTTCAAAAAAATCCCCAGAAAGCAATTCCCCCCCTCCCAATAGTTTTCCTTGTTTGCAGTTTTTCCCCCTCAGTCTGGTCTCCCCCATCGCCCCTCTGTCCTGTGGGTCACGTTGGGGAGGAAAATCATCCGTTCTTCCTTTCAAACCAGGGATATCTCACGCAGCCAGGTTTTTTTTCCCCCCTTACTGTATCTCAAAAGATATCGCTGGATGGTTCAGAAAAGGATGTTATTGGTTCCCCCACCCCAATTTTGTCTCAGCTAACGGAGTCCGCACCGCCTGTCCATGGCGAATTCTGTAAATTATTGTAATGTGTGCATTAAAAAAACAAAAGAAAACAAAACTGACTATAGGAGAAGAGTGTCTGCCCCCTTTTTCTAACCCGAAATGGAGCCACGGGGCATCGGAGCCGGTTTGGGCAGAGAGGGAGGAGAAAATTTTGGGGGGGGGGGAGAGATGGGGAACCTTTTCCAAAACTTGGCTTGGTGTAAGATAACAATAGCGCTGGGAAAATAAATTTTACGCTTTTCAGAAGGATGGTTTGGGTTGGTTGGAATAATTCAAGTAGAAATGTCCCAAGGAATTGATAGGCTGAAACATTCCTTAATTGGGGATTGGTTTTTTTTTTTTTTTTTTGCCTGAAGGCACGTTAATCCATTTCATGAATCCATTTTCTATATTGTCCCAATCAGACTGTAGTCCTTGACTTGCAACCACTCATTTAGTGACCAAAGTTAACGATGGCACTGGAAAAAAAGTGACTTACGACCAGTTTTTGGTCTCACAACCCTTGTAGCATCTGCAGGGTCACGTGATCAAAATTCGGACACTGGGCAACGAATGTCAGCCTTCCGAGTAACGTCCCCATCGAAAGCAGAACTCCGAGGCTAGTAGATTCCCCCAAAGAATAAATGATGTTTATTGGATACATCATATCGGCACAGCTAGTGAAAACCAACTCTAAAGTTTCCCGCGGTTTTAGCCTAGTTAAAAGAGCAGAAGTTTCCCCTCCTCAAATGTCACAGGTCATGTCCAATAAAGTGGTTTGGCGATTCCTTGGTTCATTCCTCCTCCTTCTCCCAACTGCCACCTGTTGGGATGACCTTGGTTCCCACAAGAAAGTTTTTTTGTTTTGTCTATTAGTGAGCAATCTACCCCCCCTCCGTTCCCAGCGTTCGTGACAACTATGAGGCTACAGAAAATGGCTTCAGCCAGGTTCGCTTCAGAGTTGACAGCGAATTTATGATGGTGGCAGTATTCTGGGGTCATGTGATCCTCTTTTTACGACCTTCTGACAAACAAAGTCAATGCAAAAGACAGGTTCACTTAACGACTGTGCCCTAACTTAACCACTGAAGCGACTCGCTTAACAACTGTGGCAAGAACGGGGCGAGACTCACCGAAGAATAGTCTCGCTTAGCAACAGAGCAGAAATTGCGGGCTCAGCTGTGGTCGCAAGTCAAGGACTCCCTGTATAGAGTTTTCTCAATCTCAACAACTTTATGATGGGTGGGTTTCAACTCCCAGAATTCTCCAGGCACTTTGCGATTGGTACTTTGTAACTTGCACTTTGTAACTCGCTGTAACTCACACTTTGCGAGTTACAACGGACTGTTGTGACCTAAGCTTCCTGAGTCATTAAAACACACGAGTAGTCCCCAAAACCTCTTTTATTGCAACAGCTGTGAATTACGTTCATTCACAGCTGAGTCCCAATTTGTTGCAAAAAGTCCTTCGGGATAATCACCAACCTTTATCTCCCTTGACAGTCTGCCAAAAATCTACTTGGCAAAGCCATAAGGAGTCCAGAATCAAACAGAGATGCCGACTGGAAATAGAGTTAGCAACGTTGCTTTCCTGCAAAGGGCCCACGTGCCTTTGCTCCTCTTTTTAAGCCTTACGGGTGGGGCCAATCATCTCCAGGCCTTACTTATGAGTCGTCCTTTTTGCTTCAACTGTTTGTGCCTTCTGGCAGCTCTCCACATACACACACTAGGAACAGACTCCTCCTGTTCCTCTGCTTCTCTGCTGTCTGACTCTGGAGGCTCCGGAGTCTGCTCATCACTCCCAGATGGCCCTAGCTCCATCTCTGCCTCGGATGCAGAGCTCTTGTCCGGGCCTTTCCGAGACTCCAGGACCTCCATGATCCTCCCCAGCCTCCTCTGTCCAACTCCACTGCCAGCTCCGCAGGCTGCTGGTGGACCACAACACGGACCTCTCCGACGGTACGTAGGACCCAGTTCCCATGTTCGATGGCCACGTGGCTGGCTGGGGAATTCTGGGAGTTGAAGTCCGCCCCTCTTCAAGTGGCCAGGGTTGCTGCAGCAGAGCAAGATGCTGGATAGGTACCAGCATGGTGATGTCCACCCAGCTTTGCTGAGTGTGTAATCCATCCAGCCAACGTCTAATCCAGCAGGATTCCTGTAAACTGGAGTTGAGGGAATCATGAGGAACAAGCTAGATTTAAATTTGGATTTAATGGCTCCTGACTGCGGCAACTCCATCATGGAAAAAAGCCAGTTGTTTTTAAAGACTAAAAAATGTTTGTTGATAGCCTTTTTTCTCTTTGCAAAGGGATTAACCACAGGTAAGCTTCTTTTTAAGGTGCCACCGGCATTTTGCCTAGGAGGTGGTCAGTCTGTTTCGGATTTCAGCTAGAATATGGAAAAGTGACGCTAAGTTTGGATCAAAGAAAACCATGTGTGTTTTCACATCTCTTTAAGCCAAATTAAAGAGGCCAGTCCTTGATTTAGCACAGAGGTCTCCAAATTGGACAACTTTAAGATTTGTGGGAGTTGAAGTCCACAAGTCTTTAAATTCTGGGAATTAAAGTCCACGAGCCTTTAAATTCTGGGAATTAAAGTCCACGAGCCTTTAAATTCTGGGAATTAAAGTCCACGAGCCTTTAAATTCTGGGAATTAAAGTCCACGAGCCTTTAAATTCTGGGAATTAAAGTCCACGAGCCTTTAAATTCTGGGAATTAAAGTCCACGAGCCTTTAAATTCTGGGAATTAAAGTCCACAAGTCTTTAAATATTGGGAATTAAAGTCCACGAGCCTTTAAATTCTGGGAATTAAAGTCCACGAGTCTTTAAATTCTGGGAATTAAAGTCCACGAGTCTTTAAATTCTGGGAATTAAAGTCCACAAGCCTTCAAATTCTGGGAATTAAAGTCCACAAGCTTCAAATTCTGGGAATTAAAGTCCACAAGCCTTCAAATTCTGGGAATTAAAGTCCACAAGCCTTCAAATTCTGGGAATTAAAGTCCACAAGCCTTCAAATTCTGGGAATTAAAGTCCACAAGCCTTCACAACCTTCTCAGCCTGGATGGCTGGGGAATTCTGGGAGTTGAAGTCCACAAATCTTCAAATTCTGGGAGTTGAAGTCCACAAGTCTTAAAGTCACCAAGTTTGGAGACCTCTGATCGGGCGGAATTTGACCTGGTTGAGAATATGCCTCTGGGTCAAAGAAGGATTTGCTATTGTTCGTTAAGGTGGTTTTGGGATGGTTTCCTGAATTCAGCACCCAAAGAGCTCCCCTTGTGGGTTCTGCACGCTTCACCTGGCACCCACAATGCCAGCCTCTTAATAGCCACTCCGCAACGGTTCAGTTAATCGGTCGCTGGAGCGCTCCCAATGCCGCATTCCTGAGTTAGGAGTTCCTTTGCCAGTTCCTCTGCAGGCGTGCAGCGTGCCTGGGGGCACCTGGCTGCTAAAACTCCACGGCACCTGGTTTGCACCTTTGAAAGCAACACAATGGGAGGAGATGTGACCCCCGAAGGAATCCCGACCTGCGTTCCTGCAAAATAATGTGGTTCCTCACATTATTTTATACGCTCATCTGTACTATACAAAAATACAGGTAAGTCCTCGAATTATGGCCACAATCGAGACCAGCATTTCCACTGCTAAGCAAGGTGGTTTGTTAAGCGAGTCACACCCAAATTTTGCGATCTTTTTATTATCCACTGCTTAGCAAAACACCGCCGTCGTTAACCCAGGTCATTAAGTGAATCTGGCTTTCCTGTTGACTTTGCTGGTTGGAAGGTCGCAAAAGGGGAATCTGTGACCCCGGGGACATTGCAACCGTTATAAGTACATGCCAGTTGCCAAGCATCTAAAATTTTGACCACATGATCATAGGGATGCTGCAACTGTCGTAAAGTGTGAAAGACGGCCATACGTCACTTTTTTCAGTGCTGCTTGAAGTCACTAAATGAGAAGTCACTAAATGAACGGTTTTAAATCGAGGCCGACATGTAAAAAAGCTAAGCACCAGCCTCCACTTCAAAGGCAGGTAGTCCTCAGCTTAACAATGACGATTGAACCGAAAATGTCTGTTGTTAAGTGAAACATTTGTTAAGTGAGTTTTTCCGCCTTTTACAACCTTTCCTCCCACCGTTGTTAAGTGAGTCACTGCAGTTGCTAAGTGCAGTGCAGTGATTCACAACCTTGTTAATCACTGCGAACAAGGTTGTTAAGTGAAACGGGCTTTGCCAGTCAGGTCACAAAAGGGGGGGTCACATGACCGCAGGACACTGTGACGGTCATAAATACGAATCGGTTGCCGAGCAGCTGAGTTTTGATCACCTTTGTGACCATGTTACAAGGGATGCAACTGAAAAAACGCTCCTAAGCCACATTTTTCCAGTGCCATCATAACTTTGAACAGTCACTAAACGAAACTGTCATAAGTCAAGGACTTCCTGTACATTCCTCCTCTTCCAGGGAACCCAGAAAGGGATTTTTTAAAAGAATTTTTTAAAAAATGCAGCAGATTCTTTGGAAACGCCTGGCGAAAGACGGCGTCTGTGGAAGCCCAGAATAACAAGAGCTGGAAGGAATCTTCTAGTCATTGTGCAAATCGCACAATTTAACACCGTTTTATCTCAGGTACGGAGGGGCTGCGATATGGTGTGCCTTGTGTGATTTACACTGTTTGTGCAATGATGTTCTGACCTCTCCGAGGTTGTGGTGACTTCAGCTAGGTTGCTTCAAGTGGAGGAGGAACGTATGGGAGAAACCCAGAAAATGAGTTTATTTAATTTATATTCCCCCTGTGTTATATTTATATTTATAACCAACACGAGGTGGCAAACCTATTCAATTACCCCTGCCTTCTACTATTTTCCCAACAACAACCCTGTGAGGTAGGTTGGGCTGAGAGAGTCTCCCAACTGGCTTTCATCCCTAAAGCGGGACTAGAACTCACTGTTTCCTAGTGATTGGCCTAAAGTCTCCAACCGGCTTTCATGCCTAAGGCAGGACTAGAACTCCCGGTCTCCTAGTGATTGGCCCAAAGTCACCCAACCGGCTTTCGTGCTAGGGCGGGACTAGAACTCCCGGTCTCCTAGTGATT